GGAGAGTGTTCATTCCTTTGACATTTCAACAATGCAACCAGTAGTGATGAAAATTGATGTTAGTACATAACTAGAGGTGGAATACAGGACTTCAGTAGTTCATATTTTATCCAGGTCAATTATACCTCTATATCGGTCATGAATATGGAAACAGTACCTTGATTTCTAGTCTTTTTAAGTTAAAGGCACTCCTATTCTAATGTTTTCAAATGCAATTTAGGAGTTTTTAAGTTAGGTTTGCTCAGTATTTAAGATGACCCTTGAAAACATTATTTATTATTATATATGCTATTACTGAATTTCCTATTATAACGCCTCTTTTCGCTACACCCTGTACCATCAACGCACTAACACTAACGCAGCTAATTAATCACTTTCTGATAAAAACTACACTAGTGTCTGTGACAAAATTATCGACCTCATTTTGTGAAATCCATTTTAACTAATTAAAGGAGGATCTTTAACATTGACTATGTTATATTTGTAATATAACAAATATTACAAATATAACATAGTCAATGTTAATCCTATATTTAATGTAATTTATAAACATATATAGATAATTATATATATATATATATATATATATATATATATATATATATATATATATATATACAATGTTTCAACAAAAAAAAAAAGAAAAATCTAAGTCGTGTCTGACAGTTTTACGATATTATAGCACCAACTATTATTTTATAATATTTTGATTACCTGTACATAGGTATATTACGTACAGACCCGCTGAAAATAAATTTCAAAAGGCCAGTGGTGCGAGAAACGTCTTCTTTGTAGTGGTAGATATGTAAATACATTAATAAATTAGATACACGTTTTATTAATTAATTTTATTACTGTGTATAAAATATTATATCGTGTGTATAATATAGCGTAGCTCTTTCAGAGGTACCTACTATTGTAGTACCTATATACTAGAACATACTACAAACTTAGTTGTGCATTGTATTCTTTGGTGATAACTGTGGTTTTGTGTGTTAGATATATTAATATTGAAACATTAGATATAAGTTATGCACCTACATCTGTGGGCATCAGAAATTGAATAAAGGCCGAATTGTTGTATAGCTGAATTAATAAAATGGAGAGATTAAATTGACAAATATACTTCCATATTGAAAAATCCTATAGGTATAAAGTATAGGTACTAGTAATACCTCGTAGTTTCGCGTGTGCATAGCATAAATACACTTTTGATTTTTCTTAACGATTATATACATCGGGCTTGGCGTTTTTTATAAAGATTTTAAAAAGCTTTTTCAGAGTCAACAAAGTGCATGTAAATTTTATTTAACTCGCTTAGCTCACATTATGCAGGTACGAGTAGGTAACCTGTGACTATTACTTATTTAGCTACGAAGCCTGCTTATTTATAATGTTCTAACTACACGAATAATTCGGGTGGTGATAAAATTAAGTATACAATGTGTTATTACCTCTTTTTGTCTTCTAAATATTATCAGATACAGAATAACATCAGTAGAAGAGAAGAAAAATACGAACAAACCTTTGCTTGCTGTAAAGTAGCAGAAAAGGAGTAACCCGTAGGTATATCCGTAATATACTAGAATAATATAACGTTAAAATTGTTATTATTGTAAAAGTCGGCTTGTTAAATGAACTACGTTTACCTTCCTACCACTTTGATATAAAAGCAAAAACGTTGTTTGTCTAAGATAATAATCAACTAACTACGGAATGGGATTAAGTACTGAAATAATTTACATTTTACCTACAGTACGCCTACACTATATTTTCATATATGATATTTTCACAAATTGAACTGATTTTAATTAATCCTTTTTAATTACCTACTGTTTTGTTTCTCCATACCCACTAGTTTTGTAATGAATGAAGTCCAATTGTTTTAGTGACACGAAATCTTCAATAAATAATTAAATAGGTTTGTTATAGGTAATAGGTGAAATAAGTAGGTATACAATAAAGAGAAACAGCTATTCCATTAGGTGGGCTTCATTATCAAGAATGGAACAGGTACTTTCTAAGACAATCAATATTTTAATTTTAATATGATTCAAATTTGAATAGGTAAGTGGTACCTACATCATAATTGTATATATTATATAAAAAGATACAACAAGCTACGGAAATTTAACGAAATGTAAGGAACTGAAAGATTAGATTTTATTTTGTACCTTACGTCATATGTTTATAATTCCCACAAGATTAAGGTTTAGTTAGTTATAAGTATGTTAAGAAATGCGTTCTCTACAATATCGACATTTGATAATGCCTTTCACTGACCTACGGTGGAAAACAGTTATATACATTCTCATAATAACCAAATAATACCTACAGTATAATTATGTGTTTTATAAATATTCGCTCTGTATTTTTACAAAAATAAACGAATAATAGCTTATTTGTTAACAAGCACATGTAAGTGAGTTAGGATGGATAACGGACTATGAACAATGTGAGTCCAGCACGAAGTAAAAGTTATCTAGTTAATTGTGTTACACCCAAAGTCCACAACAAATAGGTTTCTACCAAAGTGCACTTTGTATCAGACCGCTGTGCAGTGCTCTTTAATAGGAAGCCGTAACTTTGGCAAAATACGGTACCTATTTAGTATTAGATGTACCTTCAACTAACCTATATATGGTTAGTTATAAGAGAAGCTTTTAATTTAAACTAAAATAATTAGAGATATAATAATTAAAGGATATGATTTAGGCAAACTACACAAATACCTTAGTATTATGTATATTGGACATACAATTCGGCAAATTATAGTGTGCTATAGGTAGAGCATCGTCCCAAACGCAACACAGCTTTATTATAGAGTAAGTACTAAACATATATCACGTCTAAGTCGTCATAAATTACAATACTCTAATATGAAGAAATATACCGAAGCGTGTACATCAGCAACCCTTAAGAAACGTTAACTTTGTGGGTGCCTCTGTAAAAAAGGATGAGATATGGCATTGAAATTACAGTGTAGTAAGCTATCTGAAGGCTCTCTAGTCCAAGAGGTAACAAGGACATCATTAATTGACGTATGTGTGGTGTATTCATATATACTACAATATAATATAGACGATATTCTACGTTACCCGTTAGTTTGTTAGATAATAAAAACATTGTTACGTGTATTTTTTGCAGAAATTTGAAATGTATACTTCATCACAAGAAACATAAGCAATTCAATATATTCTTGTTTTTACTCTATAGCTACTATAAATGGTACTAGCTACCTACTCTAAAAGTTTATGAGCAACATTGAACAATAGAGGAAGTGCCCAATATTGTTAATAAGCTGGGAACCATTGACACACAGATACGTTTAAACTACTTACATTAAGTATCTTCTGACACAGGCATTATTATATGTAATTATATAGAAATTAAGTAAAATTATGGATAATTAATAAGAAAAATTTAATACTGTTTTATTTATACGTCACACAACTAGTCACAAATTAACATTAATTTTTAAGTAGTACCAAAATCAGTGCATAATTGACGAAGATCCGCGTCAATTCTGCAATTTTGCTATGTTATTAACTCATATTGATATCATTCTAATTTTGTTACTACAGAAGTAGTAACTTTTAGTTTAACAAATTTTTTAAAAATATTTTTTTGTCTCTTAGAATGTACTAAGTTTTTTGTCTAATCGGTGTTAATGAAGCTTAAGTCGTCATTCGTATGTATCTCATCATCTCTCGATCGCTATGCACATATAGGGATATCAGTAGGGATGTACTATTAGTCGAGTGGGCCGTGTTCACTGTTCCAATCCAGTGGATCTTCATCAGTCGCCGCGGGTGCCCCACTCAGTAGGGTCCAATTGAAAGCTGTTATTTATTTATTTATTTACACAAAGAATATTGTATCTGAAATAACTTAGTGAATCTTGAAGAATTAGATACAGTACAATGCAATATGTGTAATATATATGGCAAGTTTAGATCTCGTGAAAGTGATAAAAATTCTACTTCAATCTATAAAAAAATTATTATATTCGTAAGCTGTTATCATTTATGGACTATTCATTTAAATATTACTGTCAAGTATCTGTAATTACACACCCATAATTAAACAAACCTATGTTAGTTCCCATCTAAATATAATGAAATAAGTACCATATAACCGAATATCTCCAGCAGAATTACAGAATTTACTGATGTACCTTAAATTCATTACCCTTCCTTTCTTTCAGCCCAGGTGGCAAGAAAATTGCACAATTAATTGTTGGAACATATACGTATATCGTACATACGTACTATCGTTGTCGTCGATCTCTTATTGTATTAGTTTACTAATAAAGGCTGTAACAGAATAGCAGAGACGGTGGATTCACAGCCCCTTTGAATTATAGACCGTTTTGTCTCGTTCATAATTACATAGTATAAAACAAAGCCGCTGTCACTGTCTGTCCGTCTCTATGTATGCTTAAATCTTTAAAATTACGCAACGGATTTTGAATCGGTTTTTTCTTAATAGATAGAGATTAAGAGGAAGGTTTATATGTATAATACATGTACACCCGTGCGAAGGCTGGGCGAGTAACTAGTTACTTTTAAATTTTATTACTATATAAGCAGTAATTGTATTAGTTTTTATTTGAGACAAATAAAGATGATTAGTATTATATAGATAGTAATTAGTAGTAGTAGTTCATTAATTCAAATTCTATGACTAATGTTCTGTTCAGTAATGTTAGATTAATTATTACTTTAAATTATTCTTAACAATCTGTAATTTAAAAAAGATTAATCTCGTGTAGGAAAAAAAATATTTTAATTTAAATTTCTACATTAAAAACGAAAAATACTTAATATAATAAGATATATTTTAATCATTGATTTACCAAGTACAAAAGAAGTATTTCTCCTGAGAGATCATGAGAATCCAGAAATTTTTTTTTCAGCCTATTTATTTTTCAAATTAAATAACATTGTACAATATTTTCAAAGCATATTAATAGTTTAAAATAATAAATTACACAGAAATAAAAATAGTAAAGTCAGGTACATTTATTTTAGTATAAGCATAATTAACATTTTTACATAGGAGGTTGTCGAATGGGTGTTAACCTCTCAGCTGGTAATAACCGGACTACACAATCTGTACAAAAATCTGTCCCAGCGTTATCAGTCCATCTTGCACCAAGGAATCCTGTAGTTTGGCATCCAACACACATGACTTTCGTCTGAAAAACTGGAGATATCTCATCCAACATCCTTTGCTCCCTTGCAGATTTAAGCAATTCAATTTTAGATTTAATATTGCCTTTATTTTCCAATGTCGACATATTCTCATATGTGTCGCTAATGTCATGGGGATCCTCCATTTTGACGGGCACATGTAACTGAGGGAAAAATGTTGATTTCTTATACAGTATTGATTTATTTTTAGAACCTACACCTTTAGGTGCTCTTCCTGGCACCGGTAATCCAGCTTTGACTAATTTTGTAAAATATTTTTGTATTCTACACATTACTTGTATTGGTGTTCTTGTGCCAAGATCTCGAGCAATCTTTTTATATCTATGTGCTTCTATTGGCTCCTCAGGATATATTTCAAGTAGTTCCTCCAAACGTTTTTGTTCTTCACATGACCACAACTGATTAAATGTCTCTGGTTTCTGATCTGTGAACTTTCTGCCTCTTACTTTAATATTATCGAGATCTTCATTATTAGGCTTCTCTACCACACCATCACTGTCAAACAATGATGCATCAATTCCATATTGACTCCAATTTACATTTGGTATGTCAGCTATAGTTTGTCTTGGTGGAAAATTAATATTACTTGATTTAAGATTGTGAACAAACGCAATAGGATCGTCTAAAGCTTTGTTTCGAGCTTCTGCCAAATCTTCAATATCTTGCAGGGCCTTTACTTTCTGAGCTTCTAGTTTTACTATATACTTGAGGAGGTTGCAGTAATCCTTATTACCACGTAGTGCCAAATGGTCAGTTTCAAAGGCAAACTCGCCATCTGATTCTGAGTCTTCATCATCAGGTTCAGGAATTTCAACGTCTTCGGAAATTTCCATTGGGTCCATTCCACCTAAAATAAATATAGCAATAACCTGATGATAATTAGGATCAAAGGCAATATATACAATGAATATAATAAAGTCAAACGTAAAACTATCGAACAGTCCAAAGAAATTGAGTGCTAAAATTAAAAATAAATTTAGTAATTCTCAACATAAAAAGTGCAAACCAGAAAACAGGAGCTCCTCACTTGAAGGATGGACGAGCCGGTGAGTGTATTCAAGTACTATTTTTTTTACAAAATATAAATATTTACTATTATGCCAGTTATTTATTAATTATTGTTAAATATTAAAAATACAGGTAAGCAAACAATCGGCGAATACATGAATACAATATGCATGTTGACTTTGACAATTTGACATTTACATTGACAGTTAACAGACGTACTGAGACTCTGAGAGAATCTTGTATTGATTATAACTCTACAGAGTATGCAGCGTATTTTATTTCCTAAATGTATTTACAAAAAGTTCTAACAGTAGATAGTTCTGTTTAACGTAATTAATTTTACAATTTATTGCGTTAAACAATTATTAATTTACAATAATTATAGAATATAATATAATATTTTCTGTAAATTTCGTTTCTCGACATATTACATTTCAGAGCCCTCTTGTGCCATCTTGAAACATTTTTACAACAGTTCTACAGAGGGCGTTGGATTACAGATCCGTTGACGAAGAGTTTAGCTTAACTTGTTATTCATACGTATTCTTAGATAGATGGCGTTATTCACAAGAAAGAAACTTCTGAATATTTCTTAAACAGTTGTTTTCTGACTAATATTATTAAATAGGTACCATAGTCAATATTTTAAATTTCTAATTGAATTTAATGAAACTAAGGTTTGATTTGCCTGTTAAGAAACACGATGTTTGTGAAGTGGATAGTGTGAACTCTGGATAGATTTTTTTTATCTATACATATAAATAAATTGGAGGGTCTGTTTGTAATATTGAAATAACCGTTATTTACTACATGGATATGAATATAAATACGGTACATACACCAAAATAACATATTTAACAATTTTTGTCTGTCTGTCTGTTTGTTCCGGCTAGTCTCTGAAATGGCTGGACCGATTTTGACGGGACTTTTATTGGCAGGTAGCTGATATAATAAAGAGTAACATAGGCTACATTTATTTTAAAAAATTAAAGTTAAATTCCACGCGGACGACGTCGTGGGTAGAGCAAATATATTATATAATCAGAGGTGTGACATTTTAAAAATAATACTAATTAAAAATAATTACAGTATTTTGAAATGTAGAACTTAACACCTATTTCCATTCTGTATTGAATTACTTTTTGTTCGAATTTATTTTTTGTATTAGATATAATTGAAACATTATATAATGATTGTGCAAATACCTTAAAAATTTGTATAAAACTTTAAAATATTATAAGTAACTGACTAATTTAAAACTGCATTTTTTCTATAAGAAACTGACTCCAATAGTACGGAATGCTATATATGCTTTCGTCAGAAAAGACAATGCGCGAACGGTACCTACTATAGGTACAAGGAAAAAATAATTTTGTAGTTTCTGTGATTCATGTTTATATGATTTCAAATTGATGAAATTTAGATAGCTGACTTGTATAATATATAGGTATATACCCAATAAGTATATATTTAATAGAAGCTGTATAGGAGTACATCGTGAGTTGCCATTCACATGAGGACTTTATAAAAATATGTGATACCAACCGTTGAGCCGTTTCCATAACTAGATTATGTAAAGCGGCAGGTGATATCTTGAGCTACGGAATGAAAGCACAACAGTGGTATTAGATAAGAGCAGAAAGTATACTCATATACATGATTAGATATTTAGATATGTACCTAGACAATGATGTATCTACCTACCTATCATAATATAATGTGGTGGCTCGTAGATATTATTTCCAATTCGATTATAACTTTGATCAAACTTGTCAAGACCACGAGAAGGGTTTGTCGATTCCAGTTTTCAATTTATGAAACTTTCCATATGCTCCAAAGACGCTACAATAAACTTGGTAAACCTCAACAAATCCTATTACTCTAGGAGCTAACAAATTTTAGTCTACAGATATGAAATAATACGGACTATTTTCGTCAACATGTAAACCTCTAATTAAATTAAAGGGTTTGGTTATATAAATGCATTTAATGCACTTATGAAACCAAATTCTTTGATTTAGTTACGTCAATACATGAAGCCCTATGCTCACCACGATTTTTAATTAATTTAGCATCATGTGTACTTTTATACTTACAAGAAGATGTACTTATTATACTTTTATTAGTGTTCTATAAAGAGCTTTATTATTAAAAGTGGAACTTAAAGTCTCGGAAAGTTTTAATGTTGTGAGAGTCAATTGTAATATTCCAATTTCATTAAGGAAGCGCTAGACGTTGGCGAAATTGGCGATCAAAATTGTTGGCAGACATTTAAGATAAAGAAGAACTAATTTTTTGAACTAGTTTCATAGATAAAAATCCTGAGGTCGTATAAAATAAAGTATTTTATATCTTACCCTATAAAGTTTATTTAGCGATTTCACAAGAGTCGAATATGCTTTAGACCTCCGAGGTGGACATAGTTGGTATTATTATGGTATCTGTGGTATTATTCATGTTATATTTGTATTACGTATATTATTGTATACAATCGCATAAAAAATTGTTATCAGACGGCTTGTGTTTGTGGTGCTGATTAAGTAAACTCATATTAATAATCCAAATTTATAATTATAATAATTAGGTATGATTGAGTATTATATGGGGATTTTAAAAAGGGAACTGCAATAAAGTTGGAAAGTAGTTCATGTGGACATCGATATAATCTTGTGCAGTTTTTAATACTCAATGGCGCAAGTTCGATTTATGAGTGGCGATGTACGAGTATACACATACTCGTAGCAACGCTGGACAATTGCCAGAAACCATATAAAGTTGCACTAAAACTTTGAAGTGCGATGTACAGTGATAAAAACTGCATTTCGTTATTGGACTTGATTGTACATCGATGTATTTCATGTACTATGTTCCAAGTTATAGAATAGAATATTTATTGTTTTTTAGCTTATACAATATATTGAGTACCTATTAAGTACACTTTAATCTGTACTGTAAATTCTATTATGTACTTTTTACGTTATATTACGTTTAGGACTACACTATTCTTGCTCTACATATGATCATGAATAGAAATGTTTTAACCGTAGGAGGAATCGAATCAGCGACCTTTAGAAGAAGTAGGTGTACTAAACCGCTAGACCAGTAAGTACGTCAAAATACTTGCACAAGACGTTTCGACTAAATTGCAATAGTTCACGAGAAGAAGACAGGATTGTTAGATAGTTGTAATAGGGACGAATGGTCTCACCGCTAACAATGTACCAAAGTAAGCTAGATTGTTACGCGGTACCTCCTGGAAACGTTGCGAATTCGCCAAGACGGGCTAACTAACTTGAATTTATACTGTTCATAACATCCTCAACTGGTACCCGACGGTAGGCCATTGTCATCCGATAAAAATAGTATACGAGCAGACTATGGTATGGTATGGTATGTTAGACTCCATTCTCCGCAATTAGCCTCACATTCGGGCCGTTGTGCGTGTAGAGCCAGACTACTAACGTAGCCAGCCAAGCTCCTCCCAAAAGCGCAGAAGACTCCTGGTGTCTTCGCAGGCTTCACGGAGCGACCTCACCGTTCCGAGGATTTGTTTTCGTTGTTCGGCCACTGCCGTGCACTCCAGGATTACGTGAGCCGCCGTTTCTTCAGCTTCAAAGCAGCCCCGACAGAGGGGGCTGTCTGTAGCATCAATTTTGTATAAGTGTTTGTTTAAGGAACAATGGCCCGTTATTGTCCCTATCATTATTTTTAGGTTTTGTCTATCTAGATTAAGTAGACGTGTTGTTAACCGATGGTTCGTTTTTGGAATTGCCACTTCAGATTGTTTGCAATCAGTGGTTAGGTTCCATCTTTGGTTTTGTATTTCGGTGGATCTCTGGCGAATCCAGGTGCGAAATTGCGAGAATGGTATTGGCATGAGCGGGAGGGGGCCTGCAACCACCATGCCGGCTCCTACTCTCGCTAGTTCGTCCGCGGCGTCATTGCCATATGATCCGCTGTGCCCCTTTATCCACTGGATAATTACTCCGTTATGCGTTGCAATTTTTTCCAGGGCGATGTGGCACTCGATTATTAGTTTGTTGTTGGATTTTCTGTTCTGTAGTGCTTTAAGCACGGCTGCACTGTCCGATATGAATTTAATGTTGAAATTGTTGACCCCTAACCTGTATACAGCTTTTGCTGCCTCGGTCAGGGCAACACATTCGCACTGAAAGATCGAACTGTGTTTGCCGAGCGGTATAGATATGTTCATGTTGAGGTCAAGGGAATGTGCCCCAGCTCCTGAACCGTTCTGTGTTTTGGAGCCATCTGTGTAGATGCGTAGTTCATTTACTGCAGATTGGTCCCTTTCCTCCTCCTTCAATTGTATTTGGTATTTCCTGTTAAACGAGTGGTATGCTTGAGTTCTGTCACACGGAGCGGCAATCAAAGGTTCATATTCGATTGCTTGGTTCAGGATGGTTGTGTGAGAACTGTAATGGTTTTTGCCCCATAGACCAAGATGGTATAATCTTGTGGCAGCTATAGCTGCTTCTTGCTGTATGTATAGGTCAAGGGGTGTAATGTTAAGGGCTATTTCCATTGCCATTGTTGGGGTTGTTTTCATACATCCAGTAACTGAGGAGCATGCAAGTCTTTGGAAAGATCTTAGTTTGTTGACTGTGGTCGTAAGTTTCGACCTTGTCCACCAAACCAAGGCCCCATATACCAGCATTGGTCTTATTACTGATGTGTATAGCCAGAGAGTTATTTTCGGGGAGACACCCCATTTATTACCAAGCATTTTCCTGCATTGATAGAATGCAATTGTGCTTTTGTTAATTTTGTGATCAAGATGTTTATTCCAGAGAAGTTTGCTGTCTAGTATGACTCCCAAATACTTGACCTCCTCCTTAAGTTTAAGCTCTGTATTAAAGAGTTTCGGTAAATTGAAAGTACCTGGAGCTCTTTTGTTGGTGAACATGATGAGTTCTGTTTTAGAAGGATTCACGGAGAGTTCATGGTTTTCGCACCATCTCTCTATTGTTCTGAAGGCTTCTCTCATGCGATCGCATAAGGTTCCCTCAAAATTTCCTGATATAAGTACAGCAATGTCGTCTGCGTAACCTACCGTGTAGAGGTCGTTGTCGTTGAGCTCCTCAATGAGTTCATTAACAACTAAGTTCCACAGGAGTGGCGACAGGACCCCTCCTTGTGGACATCC